AGATTTTGTATATTTAAAATGAGATGTCTATCTCGTATTTAATTATGTTTATCTATAGTTAGTTACATAATTTCAAACATGAAGTTTTAATAAGTTGTACTTACGCACAATTTACTTGTAATCTTAAATTTTAAGTAATATGCATTAATAAACAATACTTTATGCATAAAATGGTTTTTAAAGTTTTTGTCAAATACTTTATAATATAGTATAGACTAAAAACAATATTTTTTTTTAAAAGGTAAGACAAATTTATTAAGGGAAAAAAATGAATGTACAATAAAGTAAGAGAAGAAGAAATAGAAAACCAACCAAAAGTCTCCATCAGAGCAAACCGAGGAACAAAGTTCATAACACAAATAAACTAAAAGAAAAAATGTAACACAAGCAAGCGGGAACGAAGAAAGCACTCAAAAGACAATAAGGGCGTGAGATTGACAACGGTGAAAAGGACGTTTATCATCAACACCCCCCCCCCCCAACTCCGACCAAGAAAGTGAAGATTCTTGGACAACTTTGAAATCCTTTGGTACGATAGGAGTTGGACTTCAAATAGACTATCAACTTGACCAGCGCTATCTCTGTTATAGACCTTGAGTTCCAGTGTCCTCAAAGGAGACGGCTGAATCTTGGCATAAAACTTGAATTCATCCACAAGAGCAAGACATCTAGAGAAAATGGGGATGAAAGACTCCAAGTGCACCACCAGAAAGTAGAACTCCATAATTGCTCATGGATGAACAAGTAACAAAGCAATGATCCATGGTTACTAACTCTTGATCACAACAGAAGCAAAGAAGGGAGGGTAGGTCCAAGTCTTTGTCGTTCAAAATCGTCCTCACTAGTAACCTGCCCCATCAAAGCTGCCAAACGAAAACACAAACCTTCCTTGGGACTGTCGAACTCTAAATTGTTGTGTTCAAAACGTTAAACCAAGTCATATATTTCATATGAACATCAATACAAAAGAATATAGAATGAAAACTCTAGATCTATACAAGAATATAGCTAAAATAGCTAAGAACAGGTTGTCACCTTTGAACACAACACGAGTTGGTACCTTTGAAAATTTCTCATTGATTAAAGATCAAATTTTAATCAAAGCTCCTTGACCAAATAGGAACCAATATTGTCACACTCTATTATGTTACAGTTTTTACTTTTCAAACTTTCACCATATTTTTTTTATATGATGCACTATGTCATGCATCAACATATACATATATATAGAGAGAGAGATGAGAGAGAGATGAGCGTTCAAATAAAAACCATCCAATTTGTACAAACCGTGAAAACCACATTCAACCAATCATAATTTTTCATTTTGTTCATTTTTTTTGTAATTATGAGAGGTTGATTAAACATTTTTATTGTGGAGGGTGTTAATCATGGGTATTATCATTTTCATTATTTTAATTTTAGAGAAATACATGAAACAGTTTCATTAAAATTTCATTAAATATTATATGAAACAATTTCATAACCATATATGAAACAAATTCATTAAAAAAATATTATATGAAACAATTCACAAGATTAAACAATTTCATGAAAAAATTTCATAAGATTAAACAATGAAATCGACGTATGATGGTGATTTGTACGGTTTGTACAAATGAGGGTGGTTTTCAATTGATCGCTCCTCTCTCTCTATGTATGTATGTATATATATATATATATATATATATGAGACTAATCAAATGAGAACTAATTACTTTGTGGTAACCGTGAGGTCCAATCTCAACCACAAATCAATAGATAAATTAGGAAATTTATAATTTTGATAAATTTTAATTAAAATTTTAATGGAAGGACATTTTAGGTATTTTCTCTCATCTCTTCTATCTCCTCTCTTCTCTCTCCGTCTCCCGGCCTCCGTCCTCTAGCCTCCGGCCACCGTTCTCCGGTGATACCACAGTGGTATCACAATGCATCTTATATGTGATTGTGTATCACACTGAGGTCGTTTGTGTGGTCGCCCGATTATGTGACACAGTGATATCACAATGCATCTTATATGTGCTTGAGTATCACACTGTGGTATCACCGAGGACGGTGGCCGGAGTCCAGAAAACGGGAACGGAGAGAGAAGAGAGGAGAAAAAATACCTAAAATGTCCTTGCATTAAAATTTTAATTAAAAATTATCAAAATTATAAATTTCCTAATTTATCTATTGATTTGTGGTTGAGATTAGATCTCACGGTTACCACAAACTAGTCAGTTCTCCCTTGAATGTGCTCATATATATATATATATATATATATAGAGAGAGAGAGAGAGAGAGAGAGAGAAAGACTTGGGATCATATGAGACCAAGGGTTTTTCGTGAAACCCGTAAGACCAGGCCCGTCTCTTGGCCTGTTAAATCTGCTATTTAGAATAGGTCCCCCAAAATTTTGGGGATCAAATTTCACAGCCCTTCCTTCTCCATGAACGACGCTTCAAAGTTCGATCTTCTTGATTCATCATCATCTGCCCCTTCCAAATATGTCTCTCATTTGCCCCTTCCTTCTCCATGAACCTGAATCCAAAGTCATCTTTTTGTTGACAAGAAAGATTATCAACCTACATCACTTTGTTCCCTTAAGGTGTTCGGTGGCATTGGTTTTAGTTTAGGTTACCAATTTCGTTACTGGTTTTGATTTGGGTTACCATTTTTCTTGATTTTGGTTTCCGTTATTGATTTTGCTTTAGGTTTTGGTTTGAATTACCGATTTAGTTCCTGTTTTGATTTAGGTTACTCATTTTGTTTGGTTTTTCTTTGAGTTACCGATTTTGTTTCTGGTTTTGATTTGGGCTACCAACTGTTTACTTCCCTTTTCTACTCTTATCAGAAAGTTAGTATTTCATGGGATCCTTTTCGATTTTGTGATCCAACTTGTTTTGGAAGTTGAATCAAGATTCAAGCAGGCTAAGAACGCACATGGGTATCAGTTGCATCACTTATGTCAATGCAATTTTGTTAAGGATTCAATTGGTAACTAACTTCAACAATTTGTTTATTATTCTTGATCTCTACATCATTTCGCTTACAACTAACACTTCTGAGTTCTGACTTCACTATCCATTCATGCACACAATCTGTTTGTTTTTATTCTTCTTCATTGAAACTGATTATGTAAAGTAGTTTTCCATCTGTTTTTTTAACTTTTAAGTTGATGGGTTTAAAGACGATGGGTTTGCCTATAGCTCGATTTGGTCGATAAGCGAAAAGGTCATATGGGTTTTTATAAAGTTCACATCAGTGGCAATCTTGGGATTGTGTTTTGTGTTTGTTCGGTATATATTTTGTCCTTCAACTTCTTCTCTCACATCTCAAAGAAGCACTTTTGGTGAAATGGCAGATTCATTTCAGAAAGGGGGCAAATAAGAAGCAGAAGTTTACAAGTCCAATATTTGATCCAAAAGCCAAGTATGGCGGGAAATTGTGTAGTACAAGGAGTAAGCATAACTATATTTCTTGTATTGACATTTGAAGCCACTTCAAAACGAATGAAAAGTTATCACCATCATGAGAGGAGTTGTCCCAAAAATCCCTTAATGTGCCTTGTTATTGAACTATAATAGCAGTACGTGATAACAGGTGTAACAGGGCATCCAAAAAGATTAGGACGGCTCTGCATAAGACTAATTCTCAATCCTTAGATTATATCTACAATCTGAACATTAATAATCACAAAATTGTCATGAGACTTCTCAATAATCACAAAATTGTCACTGTGCAACTTTAGACCATTAGATCGTTAGTTTATAAAGTTGATCAATGAACATAAATCGGTCTTACGGGTCTCACGAAAAACCCTTAGTCTCACGTGAACCCAAMYATATATATATATATATATATATATATATATATATATATTCTTATCTATTACTAATCTTTATAAGCTATTTATAAAGCTCATTATGGAATATATATTAATTAATATTTTCATTTAGACATTAAAATGATATTCAATTAATAATTAAACTTTTTCTAATTAATTATGTGAAAAATCTAAATGTTCGGAATAACTACAGTAGGTCCAAGTTTGGTGGAAACTACGATTTATCTGGGCTCGACTGTTCTAACCAATCCGGATTATACCTGATTTTTTTTCTAAAATTCCACTGTCGCTTTCGTAGATTTAAATTTGGACTTTAGGATCTTCAGATTTTGGGTTTTGAACGAGCTCTGAACTATTTATTTACATAATGATCTGAGATCGATAGATTAGACTGGTCTCTAAATCTTTCCCGATTTGATTATTTAATGTGCATTTTCATATCATACAACTACCCATGATTTCATTGATCGTTCGATGGGAATATTTATTGCTTTCAATATTTTAAAATTTAATATTTAATTTAATTGAAATATAATAAATAATTCATAATAAAATACTATTTGAATAAAAGGTTGATTGGTTAGCGACCTGACTATCCTCACATGGAATTTGGTTTCCTAGAAGAACGACCCGTGTACACGTAATCACAGCCGGGCGTCGGGGGGTCGAGCGCAACCAATCGTGCTTCGGACGAGGATCATCGAGCTGCCCGTCAGATGCGCTTCTGGCCTTAATTGGCTGGGTCGTGTCTCTGACACTGTTACTTTGAAGAAATTAGAGTGCTCATACAAGGAGACATTTTATAATACCCCGTATTTGGTAAATCTAATCTCTTGATCGAGAACCAATTTAGTTCAAGTGTGAAAGTGTACTTTAGTGTTTTATATCTTAGTCTTTAAGAGCCGTTTATTATGCCTAGTTATTTTCATAAAATTCATTTGAGTTCTAAGTTGGTTAGAACAATCTTCGTTAGGACCAAAATTGTAAAGGAAATTGCCAAAGTATGATTATATTGCTAATAAGCATAAGATCAAGGGTTAGATAGTAAATATTGTAAATATATATATAAAATTATTATTTTTTTAAGAATTTTCAGGCTTGCTTCCTCTTTCTAACTCTAAGATCTCTCCTACCTCTCTCTAAAAATTCCCCATCTCATCTCTATAAATCATTGAGTTTTTTTTGAAGAATTGATGTTATAATTAGAACTAGGAACTCAAGATAAGGTATGTCTATAGTTTATTCTTCTGATTTCTTATTCTTTAGAGCAATGGTTAAACCCTAAGTTGATTCATGATTCATAGGTTAAAAATTGAAGATTGATGAAATTTCTTCAAGTTGGTGCTGTTAGAGGAGGCAGATTCGTTTCTGTAAGTTTGAAAATTCATATAAAATCAACCGTTTGTCCGATTGATGCGTTCTTGATATCGTTAGAAAGGTGTTTGAGTTATCTACAACTTTGTAGTTTACTGAGAAACCTAATTCGAATCATACATGGCTTGAACTCTTCGATTTTCTAGACCCTGTCTGAAGCCACTCGAAATTGCACTCTGTTTGTATAAATTTTGTATAAAATATACCAGAACTCCAAATTATGTGAATCTAGTTCGTATAAAATCCTAAGAGGTATATATACAACTTTCATTTATAAGAAAGTTTGATTCAGCCTCTAAATGTGAAAAAAAGGCTTAAACTTTTTGTGTACATAACCTGTTAACTTCTGTTTGGATTGTGTAAATTTGATTTTAGCAAATGTTGTCTTTAGTCCTAGGCATTGTGTTATATGTTTACTAAGTGTCCTAGCGGTATGTTAAGCATGCTTGAAGGTCCATGAGTTCTATGAAAGGTAATAGCTTGTAGGAACTTGAAGTTGATGAGAAGTGTTATTGAAAATGGTCTAAAAGCCCCTTTTTCTGATAAGTGTAGGTAATCTGAAAGGAGGGAACCATTCATAAGCCTCGAATTTTGTTTGATCATATTTAAAACACTTTCAAGGTACGAATATCTACTTTCTTTTGATATGTGGGTAATCAATTGTGGYGATTATCCATTTTATCAAATCTTGATCATGACACATATCCACAAAAGGGGAGATGATCAAATTGATATYTGAAATTCTTTTATGTGTTATATGATGTTTTGGTTTATAAATTTTGTGTACCCGAGAAGTCTAAACTATTACTGGTACGTTTTAGGACTCATGATCGACTTTATATAAATTGGAACCTCAATGGTTTTATTAGACTTATTATCAAATGTTTGGTTCTTGATTTGGTTATTTGAGTTTGAGTTTATTGACTTAACTTTGAATAGGCTCAATACTCGGGGCACGGGTGTTGAGACGCCCCCATGATGACTATAATTGTCCTGGCATTCTCATAAAGGCTACGGCCAAGCCAAATAGAGAATGTTTAATGCATTCTATGAACCGAATACCAATTATATTGGTTACTGGATAGAGCCGAATACCAGATACCTCTGGTTACATCCATCGGGAACAACGTATCCTAATGATACGGATGACCTTCTTACCTTGAATATTTTTTTTATTATATAACTTTCAATTTTTAGAGATTTATATTTAAATTGATTTCACTTGTATCGTAATGTTTCCTTTCAGTTATTTATTCATATTTGATATTCTTCTACTATTATTCGTTCACTGCGCAATTTTTGCTCAGTCGAGGTTTGTTTTGTTTTACCTCGGCAGGTTCAGGATCTAACTTAGGGGCAGGATAAAGGGTCGAGATGGCTTAGATTCTAAAAGACTAGCGGTTGAATATAGTGTTAATGCTATGTAATATAATGGTTGTAATGTTTTTTTTGGGAGTTTCATTAGAGCTCCGTACTATAAATTGTAGACTTTTGATCCGTTTTCGGTTGTGACATGTCTCATCTTAAGTTTAGTAGGATGGGGTGTTACACATTTCTTGCAATATGTTTATTTGAGCAACTTTACCAATTGAGCTACATGCCCGAAGGTATAATAAAATACTATTATTTATTCAGATAAATTCACAAAACAAATTTGGGTCCAAAATTTTATGTAATTAATATTTTTTTAATTATATTTAAGCACGTCCATTAATTACAAATTTTTTTAAAAAAAGAAGAAAGTAATCGCACTTGTTACATTTGAGGTTGCTCAAAGATAGTTGTATAAATCCGGAATATGATCTGTCTCAACCAAGCTGGTGTTGTGAGCACGGTACCACGAAGAGTCGAAAACGCATGAGAAGAGCACTGTGCAGAGAAACTGGAAAAAGATTATAGGTTTGATTTTATTTGATGATATTTATGTTTTCTGTTTGGTTCTGATTGGCAGACTAGTTGATAAGCTAGTTGGTGGCTGATAAGTTAACCAGTGGTTGATAAGCTAGCTGATAAATTAAATACCATTGGTAAAAACTAGTTCAAAAATATAAAATGATCAAGAATGACATGTTTAAAATTAATAAATTTTAACATTTCATAATATATATATATATATATATATTTAAAACAATTCACTAATATACAATATGTTAATTAATGCTAACTAAATGATGATCTCGCGGACTAATGACTCATTTAACTCCGTTAAATCAACGGTCATTTTTGTCTTTTGTCTTTTTTCTATAAAAAGGTAAAAATAACAATACTTTTATACACACACATATATACACCAAAAGGGTACTCGTGTAATGCATCGAGAAACATTTCAATTTCAATGTATCGTTTTATTTTTTTATCTATGTCGATATAATACTATTTTATGTGGTTTTGAGAAAAACGATAATGCTTTTATTTTTAAATAAAATATAAATTTAAAAATATCACATAAAAATTTGCAAAAAATATATCAATATTAGTATCAAATTAACTATTTAATTTTTTTTATTTGTGTATATTTTTTAATTCAAACTTTTTATTATAATTTAATTTATTGTAACGAAGTAACTTAATTTGTGTTTAATAATATATATTTTTATAAATATAATAATTAAGTATTCTGTTAGAATTTAATAATTATCCTAATTATATTTTAGATTTTTTATATTTTAAAATGAGATATTTATCTTCTATTTGATTATGTTTATTCGCAGTTAGTTACACGAATTCAAACATAGAACTTTAATAAGTTGTGCTTATGCAAAATTACTTGTAATCTTGAATTTTAAGTAATATGCATCAATAAACAGTATTTCATACATAAAAATGATTTTAAGAGTTTTTATCAAATATTTTATAATATAGTATAGATATAAGAAGAAATCGACCCAATATGGTAATTTTTGAAGTTTGTAAAGAGAAAGCAAGTTTGACTCAATTAGGATTTGATGTTGCATAAACAACTTGTACATTGTGTAAAATATTTTGTAATTAAGAGATTTTTTAATTCTTGCATAAAATGATGATACTCTATGCTTTAAGACTTGTACAATTCGTTTAAGTTAAAAAATAATTATATTAAATATGATTTAATTTTATTGTTTTATTGTAACGGTGAAAAAAGATATGATTTTAATGTAATTAAAACTTTAATTTAAAAAAAAATCAAATCATAAACTATATCTTATTTTATTTATGGCAAATAAAATAAGATATGATTTTATAATTTGTTTTGTTTAAATTAAAAAAATTATGTTAAAGACGATTTGATTTGATTGTTTTTTTTCTACCGTTGCAATAAACAACTTATTATCGATATTTTAACACCAAAATAATTCAAAACCACTATAAAATTAACTCCAATTTCATCATCCTAAAATTAGGGTTTTCGGTTTTCGTATGATTTTCCATTCAAAAACTCAAAGTTAACTATTTAGATCTTAACCAAATGAAATATTCATACATACGCTCATCTTTGTGAATTAAATTTGAACAAGTTCCTATACAAACTTCAACCAGGTTTTCATATCGAAATAAACAAAAATACTGAAACAATAAACTTAAACGATATTTAATATAATTATTTTTTTAATTTATACAAATCAGATTATAAAATGATATCTTATTATTTATATTTTGATATCATATATATATATATATGTGTGTGTGTGTGTGTGTGTGTGGGGGGGGGGGGTATATTTCTAATGCAACTCATCACATTTGTACAACCAATGCAACTCAATCAATTGAGATATTTATGAAAATGATGAGAGTTCATTTATTATGATTTAAATATTTATGAAATATGACTAAGGTTCATTAATTATGATCAATACTTTATATTATGAAACAATCAAAACTTTTATGAAATCACATATTCATCAAATTAAATAGACGGTTGGGATTGAGTTGTATTAGTTATACACATGTAAAGGGTTGCATAATAACTTACATATATATATATATATATATATATATACAAACACACACATATATATATAGCCAAAGGTTATTTTGAAAAGTGGTAAATATTTGTGCGAGTACACTTATAGTATACCTAAATATAGCCAAGTGGCCTAGAGCTAGGGTCGTCCCTTAACATGTTAAATGTGAGATTTTGAACAAAACCTCCGAAATTTTAGGGCCCAAATTTACATGTGTGTAGGGCCTTTTTATCTACCTATGTAAAACTATAGTCGAAATTATCATTACTTATTTGGTTTTAGGCTCAAATCAGTAATGTTTTAGGTTTAGTTTCAGATTGTTAATCGTTTTAGGTTTAACCCATTTTTATTTGTAACATATATCATCTGTCATCTCATTTATGCAATGTAATCAAAAGTTTTGAATGTAGCAGAATCTCCAAAATGATTGAAACGCCCATCCCTAGAGCAAAACCGAATCGGATGCAATCCAACTCGATCCAAACCGTAAATCGACAAATTGGATTTTCTACTCATTTATCTCTTAACCGAGAAGGATAAATTATGGGAAAATATCCATAGGTTCATGTATTGATGGGAGTCTTCAGGAATCTTGTTCTGCTGTAAAGTGAAAAAAGAGTACCCATTTTTACAGATACCCACATGAATTATTACTGTAGACTCCATTTATGACATCATAATAACTTGAATATTTAGGTGAAAAATATTAAATGGGATTTTAATTTTTAAAACTCGAATTTAAATATATTTAAATTTTAGATAAGATTTTAATTAAAACTATGATATTTAGTAGGCTAAAAAGTAATGAATTTTATTAAAAACTCTTTTTTTTTAATTAACCTGAATATTCAATCCGCTATACGAGCCGACTAATTTCAGGACGACCACCTGCTTTTACAGATAGCCTGGAGTCACCGTATTTGAACCTCCGTGGCCATAATGAGATTTTTATTTCTTCTTGGATTTGAACCTGAGACATTCTGATACTTTTGACCTTTGGAGTCAAGCTCAAACCAATCAAGCACCACCCTTGTGGTTTTAAAAACTCATTTAAAGTCATATACCACTAAACTGAATCCCTACTAATAAATGCGAGTCTAATTTTATAATTTTTGTTTTTGTTTATTTCAAAATAAATATTCGGTATTAAAAAAATCATTAATTCTTTTATTGTTAAATGTAAAATTGTCATTTAGATTATTAAAAATTGTAATAATTATACGTATTTAAAATTATGTGTTTTTTTTTATTGTGAATGTTAATTTTGAAGCAAAGGCAACGGAACAAAAACTGATCTCGTGTTTGACCCGACACAAGACTAAGACGAGATAGGAGTCGGGATTGAACTAGAGAAAATTGCATTTTCTCTATTTTACGAAAATTAGAGTAACGAAAATTAGAAAATGGGACAAGTTCAGTAAATTATTAAACTATTTATATCAAATTAAAACCCTAAAAACTTTCCACCCATTTACCTCACTCTTATACGACATGTCTGTCCAGTTCTGTCTGTGTAATATAAGTACAGTAAACAAAGAGAGCATGCATGTACCTAGGGATGCTTATGAGTTGGGTTGATCGAGTTGAAAACATTTGAACAACTCAACTTCATGCTTACGGTTTGAAAAATCTTAATCCAACCCAACATAAATCAAATCGTACGGGTTGGTCAGGTTGATATTTTAGTACATTAAAATATTCTTCTAACATTAAATATGTTATTTCTCTACTCATAATTTTTTTCATCATCAACCATTTGATACAACTTATCCATATTTCTTACATATATCACATTCAGTTAATTTTCTCAATATACATATATATATATATATATATATATATTCACAGTTACTGAAATGAGTTATATAAAGATATGAATAGATTGAAAATGTGTATATGAAGAGCGGATATGTGATAACGTAATTGTCTAATGTATATATTAATAGAAAATCCAACAATCATATTAAATCCAAGAAATAAAAGGATATCGGATTCATCAGGTTAGGTTCAAATAATAATAACCCAATATCAATCTAATACCTACGATTTAAAAAATCTATAACTCAATCAAACATCAGATTGCTTCGAGTTAAATTATTTCGTGATAGGTTGATTCACACCTACATGTACCTCATTATGCTTAAGTTGACTCATTATGGCTTCACAACTTGTACCATCTTCCAACTGGCCTTTCTAGGATAGATACAAGTACAACTCTGGTAACCAACCACTGGTCAATGGTCAAATAAAAATAATTCGAAATTACAATTTTCATCCCTATGCTTTAGAAATTACAACTTTTGTTTTTATGGTCTACAATTTATTGTTGTTTTTGTCTCTAGACTAATTTCTACCTTTGAAGTACAAGGGACCAAAACAGTAAAAAATTGTAAACCATAGGGACCGAAACAACAATAAATTGTGAATCATGAGGATAAAAATAGCAATGAATTACAAACCATAGGGACAAAAACCGCAATTTCTAAACCACAAGGACGGAAAACGTAATTTACTCTTTATTCTAAATCTCTACTTTTACAAATCAAGTAAACAAAACTTAGATTTACAGAAGAAAAAGAAGATTCTTGAAATCAAAAGGGCCACAGATCACCCCACAGTGATCTTCGGGCCTGATGGTGCAACGTCGGGTTCTTGCTTTTTGTGACGGTCACCCTCTCGAAACGACCCTCCGAGCCATCGTGATTGGTGGCTCGACAAACATCCATTTCGATTCGCTTACCCCTTTTTATTGGAGAGTAGATGATTCTTCCCCAACCGCTTCCGAGATCAGCACGAGTTGTCTCGTCTTCTGCTTCTTCCTCTGCGTCACTTTCGGTCGTGGCGTATGGTTCGTTGATATCGGACTCGTACTTGATCATCTTTTTATCGTAAAGAATATCCTCGGGTTCTGAATCATATTGGTCATCATCTGTCAACACAAATCATAATTAAAAGATAGGAAGTCCCTTTTAAGGGTCCGTACCCGGACAATACTGGACAGGGTAAAAACATGTCCCACGTTTGGTGTGACATTAGACCGGACAAGACTGAGGGCATGTCCGTTAGTAACTTAATGAGTTTAATGAGTCACAGCTTATTCGGTCAATTATACATGACTATTTGGTAATGGCTTCATGACATGGAACTCAATAAACTCCTAGGGGAAGCTTTATACAGAAAGTCAAGTTTTTTCCAACCTGCCCCTCCCAATTAAAAAACATGCTCCTTTCATTTATGAAAAAGCTCACCCATACAAAAACTTTTCCAATCTATACAGACAGATAGAACTGAGTGAGACAAAAATGCACTTTTTGTCCACAAAATGTGGAAAAAATCAAGATCAAACAAGACTGGTAAATTACCAAACCACCCATATCAAATATCAAATTAAAACCTAAGACCTTTCGCAAAATTTTCACCCACCTACCTCACTCTCACCCATCTATCTCAGTCCTATCTAGTCCCATCCATGAACCAAAACCGGACATCTTTAATCATATTTCACCATATAATCTACAACTTATTTTGATATTGGACATAAGAGGTACACGATTGAGATCATCGGTCACACGAAACCCCACTAAAGTAACTTTAAGGTGTGTGCGGAAGGGATGGATCCAGGGGGAGGGGGTATCGAACTATCAATTATGTAAATCTTTGAATCCTGCAGTTTATGCCACCAACATGATGGTCAGCTTTTTATTTTTTTCAGTACGATGGTACAATAATTAAAATATGAATTATGATGAAAATGACAAGAGGCACCTACCGTAGCTGCTATCAAGATCCTCGGGATTCATTTTGGCATTCTGTTCTTTCAACGTATCAAACTTCATACCGTCAAGTGGCCATGCTTCACTGTTGCAAAGAGACAGAAAAGAACAGCTAGTGTTCATGACATAAAGCCGGGGAGAGTTGTGATTGCGACTCCACTTCAAGTGAAGATGATTTTGTAGTATGATTTTTTGCAAGAAAGATTTCCGATTTCTTTAGCATATAAAGACACCATATGCCAGTTCACGGACCAATCAACAGCACACTTTTGTAAAATTCATCCCCATCCTATAGAAATTGAAGTGGAGTCGCAAAGATATGATTATGTACCAACTTACTAAAATAAATTACTCCATTTCTTAGGAAGGGTGTCCCTGGCTATGCCTGAACTAATCCCGGCAAATTGTGACTGCAAGAAATCAGCTTTGATAAACTCAAACTCTTAGAGGCCACAATTGTGGTATACGTCTGAAATCGAACCTTGGGTAGATGGGATATTCCATCACATCCCCCAAGGACTTCGACCACTATAGAAATTGTGACGACTGACTTTGAGAATATGCAGAAACCAATTACTCTCCAAAATAGTCCTTTGAGGTGAGAAGGGAGGTCCTAACATATATACAGGAGAAAGGGTCCAAGTCTAGCCGATGTGGAACTCCAACATGCCCCCTCCAACGGATGCTAGACGGGCAAGATTGTCCTAGATTGTCAAGTCCCTAGAGCGGTAGACATTAGCTCTAGTATCATGTGAGAATATGTGAAACTACATCAGATAACTCTCGAAAAGAGCCCCGGAGGAGAGAGGGGAGGTTCAAAATATATTGAGGAGAAATGGTACAAGTTTAGCCAATGTAGGACTCTAACATGCCCCCTCCAACAGATGCTAAATGGCACAGATTGTCAAGAGGGGGCTAGACGGGTAAGGTGGCAACCCCAATGTCAAGTCCTGAGAATGGTAGATCTTGGTTCTAATACCATGTTAAGAATATATGGAACCCCATTAAATTACTCTCTAAAAGAGTCCTTGGTGGGAGGTTCTAACATATATTGAAGAGAAAGGGTCCAAGTCTAGCCGATAAGGGACTCAAACAAACATTTTGGAATGTCAAGTGAAAACAGAAACTCTTCTATTCTGGAAAAATTTAGAAGTACATCTAGATGTTCGACCATTCCCATCATTATGAGAGATTTGATGTGGTAGATGGGAAAGTAGTTCAATGCTTTCATAAAACCATGTATCTAGTCAAATAGCAAATTCCCACAAGACAGAAGGAAATTTAAAAGCATTTGCACCCAGGAGCTCACATGTGACAAGGACTCTCATAGATATGTACTTTCTTTTTCGAACTTCAAAAAATACGACACTTTTTTATGTTAATGAAGTTAAAAAGATATTTAGTAATACGATAGAAGGGGCTTTTCCTGTTTAGTAAAGTCTTGTTTTTTGATGGGACCAATTAATACCATTTCCTGTAGTTGAAGTAAATAATAAGCACTTGCCTGGGTCGAGGTCCTCGTCTGAATACAACGTAACAAAATTTCTCATCTTCAAAGCCACGTAGAGGCACACCATTGGAACGCTAGAAAAGAACACCAAATAGCCACAAAATAAATAGTCAAGTTATTTGCTTAACATCATAAAAGTGGATGCATGTGATAAAGGAAAATAACTAGACGCTCATCTTAGTTGGTACTGCTGCAAATGCTAGCAATCTCGATAAATGTTCTAAATTTCCCTGCTTAGGGCCGCCCAGTCAGCTGCCTATGCATTTAGCATTCCCCCACCACATACTTAGAACCACCTAAGCATTAAGGTGGCATTTGTTTTCTAAGAGGTGTTGAAGTCTGAAAACTTATTTCACTTCGGATTGATAAGAGGTGGTGTTGAAGTCTGAAATCTGAATCAATAAAACTGTTTGTTTTTGTAAACCGATAGATGTTTGAATTTGTTTATATTGTCTATTTTACCCATTAGAAAAATATAGTGTTGAATTTATAGATAAATTTATACAATTTCACATATTTATCCATCATCACGAAATTTACATCTAAATTATATAATTAGCATTCATTTAAACGAAAATATGCCATTGACGGTATTTTAGGTGAGGATTAATCAGGTTTACCCAATTAATGGCGCATAGATTAAGCGTCTTGGCAATCATAATCCTGGACTCAGTCCCAAAAAAAATCAGCCTAATTCAAAAAATTCGTTCCACTTAAATTGGCTTCTATTTATTGTGGATTCCTGGTCCAATTTCTTTGAGCCCAATTTGGAACATCCAAACATAGCTATAGTCCCAAATGCAAATTGGCCGAGTTTGATTACCCTAATGAAAAATAAGAACCACATTGGAGTCCAAAATCAGAATTTCTGGCCTTCATACAAGTAGTCTGAAATGTGGAGGAAATTTTATTTGCATTGCCGGCTAATATGTTGACTTGTGCAAGAAGTTGCACACTGCTAGTTAGCAATTAAATTAGTTATTTTCTAAGGGGGCGTTTACCAAACACTAACCTAGTAAGCGCTTACCGGTAAAATTTAACACTACCACTTACTTACTGGACAAGACTTTAGTCCACCAAAACGGCATTGTATGCAACAATTTACCAACTAAGCGCTTACCATGGTAAGAGCCGTCGCCCTCACTTACCGGGTAAGACTCTCGGTCCTTGTCTCCCTCTTACCGGGTAAGATTCTTGGTCCTTACCATATTCATCCGATAAGGTAATGTGACTTTTTTTTTTGGATTAACCTGGATATCCAACCCGCTATGCGAGCCGACTAATCCCAGGGCGACCACCTGCTTTGCAGATAGCCCGAAGTCACCGCATTTGAACCTCCGTGGCCACAAGGGGATTTTTATTCCTCCTTGGATTTGAACCTTTGGAGCCAAGCTCAAACCAATCAGGCACCACCCTTGTGGTTAAGATAATGTGACTTGGTAAGCACTTACCCAGATAAACGTTTGGTAAACGGCACCTAAATAATGTAGTATCATAATTTTAATTTTCATATGTATACACAATCAGAAAATAGTTATATCTTAGTATTAAAAATCAATAGCTTAGTGTCTGTCTGTTTAAGCAGCTTAATTCCCACTTGGCTGATTAACATTGTGTTCTCGAAACCTTTTTCCGAAGGAAAAGGAAGGAAAGGGAGGGAATGGAGAGGAAGTAAAAAAACTCGTGTTCTCGAAACTTTTTAGGAGAGAGGAAGGAAACGGAAGGAAAATAATGATAAGTTTCTTCCCAAAACTTTCATTCCAAATGTGGGAGGAAAGGAAAGGGAAGGAAAGAAAAAAAGTTAAAACCCTTTAAAAAGATTATTAAAATTACAAAACCCAGCCTTTCATTATAAAAGATATATTTTAAAAGGGTATATTTGTAAAAATGGCATCTTTCCTTTCCTTTCTCTCTTGTTCAAGGAAATGATACATTATTTTCTTTTCTTTTCCTTTCCTTCCCTTTCGAGAGACGAACAAAAAAATTATTTTTCTTTCTTTTTCTTTTCACTCCCTTTCTTTTCCATCCATTTCTTTTCTTTTCTTTTCTCCCCAAATTTGAGAACATAGCCTAAGTGCTAGAAGGTCAATCAACCACCTAGCTCCGCTTAATACTTTTTAGAACAGTGATCACAGTTATAGTGCTGGATTGCTAGAGTGAGAAGCTAAACATAAAGCTAATTTGAGGAGTGTAGGGCTACAGCTGAAGGATGATAAGCATGGTTGAGATAGAAACCTTGTATGCAAGCTGTGATGTCGTCCTCTGCAAGCGCTGAACAAAATGACAATATTTTCCAGTATTGTCCAATGGACAAGCTCCATCATGAGGACACTGAAACAACAAATGAGAGCATACAGAATCGTGTCTTAATCACATGATAAACTGAATTTTACAAAAGAAATAATGTCGATTTCTGAACTTACTGGCGCTACTATATGGACCCCGCATTTGTGTGTCATCAAATTCTTAGAGACTTGATTAGATGCCTTTGCTAATTTGCGGCTTTTCTAAAAAGTCAATGACATGATTAATTAAAGCTTTGGGATAATATGTGCAGTCATGACAAATAGCAAAAAGAACCTCATGCAGAAAACTTCCATGATTAGTTTAGGAGTAAACTCACCCTTTTCTCCATCCACATAATGTGAGATCGCACTTGAGATATGATACTTGATCCATGTGGTGTTCCGGGTTCCACTAAAACCTGTCCTACATTAAAGGTATTTGCATGAAACCCACATTCAATCTGTATCGGTTAACATCAAAATTGTTAAACACTCAAGGCGCGAAGGGGTCTGGGCCTAGGCGTGAGGCGCGGGCTTCAAGAATGTGAGGCACATCTTATAGTATAAGAAATTCAATATACACACAACTCATATATGTAGCAAGTGCAAGCCGCCTCCAATGCAGCAACAAGCAGTACTTCGGTAGAAGCAGAAGAGAGAAGGGTTTAAAGCGTGAACCATGAGAGAGAAGTTTTAAGGTCTAGGTAAAGAGACTTGGAAGTTATAAGAACTGGGTATTTAATATCAGGGTTTGACTTATGTCATCTATTTAATAACACCTTTTTCAAGACGTCTAGAAGATAAGAAGATGAGAAAACTTATTTAATATTGGGGTTGGCTTGGTATTTAGTAACTCTTTATGAGGTGCACCTAGGCTCACAAAGCGCCATAGCCAAGACACAGGGCCTTAGTGAACCTCGTGAATACGCCCAGCCTCAACTTAAAAAAACCCAAGAGCTTGAGCTTTATGAGCCTCAGTGCCTAGGCGCACTTTTAACAACTATGGTTAATATGTCTTAATAACATGTACATTGAATGTGCAGCAAGGATGATAACATTTAAATCCAAGGTTCAAAATAGCGTGAGGCTTGACGTGGCGGCAAGGTCAAGCCTCAAGCCTTACACGCCACAACTAGGACGCGGCGTTTTTCAAGATGTGATATAAGGCAGTAAGCTTGTATGTCATATATAGAATTATATATGTACATATGTGTTTTCTATATATTATTCAATCAGATAATGATATTAAAAATTTACATTCATGTTAAAAGAAGAAAAATCATGTAGATTATTATTGTAAAAATGGTCTTCGATTGAATATTCAAAATAGAACTTAGAAGGGTAATTTTACAACATCGTTTTAATCATGAGTCCATGACGTGTATGAATTCGTGAAACTATCAATGATGTGATTAAATAAATCTATAAAAGTGTAAAATCTAAAGTTAAAAGTGTAAAAATACAAAAGCTAAAAAAACTAATATTTTTTAAAACAAGTCACGCCTTGTATAAAACGCACGCCGTGGCGTGCCTCAAGGCCCCATGGCATGAGCCACGCCTTACACAAACACTATAGGCCTTACCGTAACGGCAGAGATGCGTCTTACGTCCACCATGGTGCGCCTTTTGAACGCCGTTTAAATCCCCACCTTCAGCTTTGGAAGGTGATAGACATCTACCCTAATATCGACCCATATACATGTTGAGAGAATCTAACCTTGCTATGAGATGCAATTTAAAAGGCCACGTATGCCAAGTAGGCTTGACTTTACCACAAGGTTAAGAGTTAAAGAACCAGCTTCATCACACTATTTCGCAATTATGAGGCATGTACACATTATAAGTTAGCATTATCCTCGAGTCAAAGAAGATGTCTATATTAGGCCAACCCAAGAGTTGAAGCACATATTAATCCATTCAAGGCATATGCCTTAGGTTAATTAGTAGGATAGCAAACTTGAATACTTTATTAGTTCTACAAGAAGAGCTACATGGGAAATTTGGTTTTTATGCTTTATTGAATCAAAAAGATTGTCCGGATGATTAGGAAATCTTGGGAGAACTAGCCTATCTCATGGAAGTAGAGCAATTCTTTGGTCTTTCAATTATACTGTTCATTTTCAATAAGAATTCTTTCCTATTTTTATCAAATTGGTATCAGAGTAACTCAAATAGATCTAAATCGTTCAGATGTGGCTGAAGGATGTGCCCATGACCGCTTTTCGTCCTCAAGAGGGGCACTGGGTGTTTGATTAAGCCTTTTGGGTTGATAAAATCCCCGATCACTTTTCAGTCTTTTGAAAACATAGCATTTCAGTTGTTCTATAGGAACTTCATCATGGTACTTGTGATGATATTTTGGTCAAGGGGCAGTCTCTATGAGCATGTTCGTCATCCGGAGTTGGTATTTCTAGAGTTAAAGCATGAAAAGGTGGTATGCAAAGATGGAGAGTTCACCGATCATTCAAACAATCAGTTTAGAGGTTTTGGTCTCAGAGTACCAAAAATTTGTACAGGGTAATAGCACCATCGCATGGCCACTAATAAAGCAGATAAAGAAAGACAACATTTCTTGGAAAAAAGCAATGCATAAGCTTTTGGGCATCTAAAACAAGCATTGATCAGTTTCCCGTCCTAGCTTCACCACGTTTTGGCACACCATTAACTTTTGAGGCCGATGCATTAAGGTAAGGGCATAAATATTCAAGCTTTTAATGAGCTATTCGAACTCGAGTCGATCTCAAGCACAAAATAGAACTCTTTAACTTAACAAGTCGAACTTCATAACATTAATGTCCGACTCGACTCGTTCGAAACCTCGACATAAATTTTTCGAGTCAAGCTGAGCCGAGCCATTCGAGCATATACTTTTCGAGCCAAACATACTCATATGTTCATAAATCATACAATAAAAATATTTAATATATTGAGCCCTGCTTTGAAAAGGTTATTCGAGCTCGAGCCTAGTATTTTTTTTCCAGAGCCAAGCTCAAATAACCTACTACTCGACTCAGTTGGCTCGTTTACACACCTACATTGAGGTGGATTGAGCACTGTGCTAATCAACATGGTCAACAAATAGCCTATTCCAACCTATTCCAGTTAGGCACTGACAACTCAAGCTCGATCGAAATCTGTTTATGAAAGGAAACTCATGCCGACTATGCTAGCAATATACAAGTGGTGGCCTTGCCTATAGAAGCAGCATTTCGTGGTTCGAGAGAATCAACATAGCTTAAGTTCTTATTGGAATAGCAATTAGTTGCCCATGAGCACCAAAGGTGTTGGTGAAGATACTAGATTACGACTTTGAGATTCGGTATCTACTGGCGTAGAAAATAAGGTGGTTGTTGCCTTATCTCACCGAACATTTAGTAGTTATGCCTGTATTGGATTGGGAGGCAATTTTGGGGGTGGTGACAACACATAAGTTGTTGGAGATTCAATCAATATTGTTTAATATTGCTGTAAGGAAGTAGGTACTGATTGGGTATTCATTAGATGGTCAACTTTTGCTTATCAAGGCAATTGGTCATGCACGGCATCTCATGACTAATTCCTTGAATACTGCAAGATGTTCACCATGGTGCAACTAGAAGACATTTCAGGATTCTCAGGCTGTATAGAAGATTGGCAATAGAATTATATTAGGGGTTGGAGAGATGGAGTCAAGCTGCAACTCTTGCCAACAACATAAGTAGTTGACCATGACCCGGGGGACTCTTACAGCCACTAGAATTGTCTGTTAAAGTGTTGGAGGATATCATGATGGATTTTATAGAGTTCCACATCCAGTGGGGTTTACAGTGATTATGGTGGTGTAGAACATATGAGTAAATACATGATTCACTCCTCAGCATGTGGTTGCTTTCATGAGCGAAGTTGAAGAACTACATGAAATCCAACATCAAATTTGACCAACCAAGACAGTTTTCTCGAGTCATTTTCGGGAAGAGTTCTTTTGATTGCAAGGACATGTATTGAAGCATAATTCAACTTGGAGAATCACAAAAATCGTCCATGTGGCTTGTTAAAACTCTAGTTTTCGTCCCTCAACTTTGTTTAATACAAATCTAACCTTGCAGTATGCATTTTGATTTATTGTTCGTCCCTCCACTAATGGTCGTCATCTTCTAGCCGTTAAGTTCCCCCATCTGCCTCTCACAGGCAGTTAGATCACATCGTCTTTTTCCCCTCGTTCTTGACCCTTCTTCTTCCTCCCCCACCTCCTTCAACCTAGAAAACTCGAACCCAAACCATCTTTAAATTTTCACTAACAAACACAAAATCTTCAACACCCGCTTGAATTAAAATCAATGTGTTAAAAAACACACAATAACCGCCTCCTCTTTTTTTTGCCTTTAAGCGAGTGGAGCGACGTTATTCTTAAGAGTGAGGTGGAACAGGTAGGACCCTTCACAAGCTTCTCCAGAAGTTGAGGCAGACGACAACTCAAAGATCGGTTCAAAATCTCTCTTGTTATGTAGCTAATCAAAAGTTATCGAAGATTGTTAAACCAACTCATTGGCTAGTCCAAGGAATAGAACCAAGGCTCTACCAAGGAGGTTTTGGATATCTTTCTAAATCTCCCAAAAAACCAGCCCTCAAAGAGAAAGGGGAGATTTCAGAGATTTTAGATCTCTATTTTCGCTTCAAAAATCAAACCCAATCGATGGCAACCATGGTACTAGCACGATTCTAGTGAAGATATAGTGGTTGGGTTATACGAAGAAGAAGTTCAATCTAATGAAGTGCAAAAGGATTTGGCAAAGAGTACTAATAATACTGAAACCACCATTGATGAAAACATTCAAGCAAAAGAAGAACCTATTATCTCCTACTTCAGCGATATTGAATAAGAAAAATCTCATGAAAATGAAGCATCTCCATCTTCTCCAATTGCAAAACAGCTACAAAGTCAAATAAAACCAAATCTCTCATTATGAAGAAAACACTATTTTGGTCAGGGGAGGATTTAAGTGTAGTGAAGGGGGTGCACGTGCACCCACTATATTGTCGACGCAATGGAAAAAAAACTAGGTGCCTTAAAAGGTGCACCCGCTTTAAATAGAAGTGTGCTCCCCTAACAAAAAGAGGTGTGGCCTACTCGTAGAGTCTTTGCATATGGTATTGTAGGTTGTAAGTTCAATCCCTCTAGCTCTTTTTTAACTTTTTGCGAACTGCAGCTATAAATAAGTAAAAAAAATTAAGGAAAAGCCCCTTGTATATTGGAAAATATTTTTTGTTATATTTTATATTACGCTAATTATTTTGTGTTCCCTCTTGAAAAAAAAAATCAGGATCCACCTTAAATTTTGGTTGATGTAGCAACTAAGAAATTTGCGACAAATTGTTCAGGAAATCAAGAAGCAAATATAATCTAAAGAAAAGCAAGACATGCTCATTAAGAAGCATCCAACTTTTACAACAAATCTAGAAAACGATCTCATTATTCTTATAAAATCTCCTTCAAAGATTGTTTGAGAGCTCATTAATGAGGTTGCTAATGAGGTATGTTAGTGGAGTTAGAGTTAAGACTATCGACAAAGATCTAGATTGTTGGTTGTAAATCCTCCAGCAAAATACTCTCAACAATCTCCTTAGAAAAACTCTCCCATTGCAAAAACAAAAAGCAAGGCTTTCGGCTCCAGCTTCTGCACGGTCTTGTTGGTCCAATAGCAGCGACGGAGGCAGACGGTGAGGAAGAGGGACGGTGATCTACTTGAAAGATTTGCTTCAAGTTTTCTTCTTGATATGCAATGAGGAAAAGGGATAATGATTTAAGGGGGTTTTGATTTTGGGTTTTTTTTTCCTAAGATGCCATGTCACATTTTTCCTTTAATATGACCAAAATACCCTCATGCTAGGGGCACATGAGGCATTTAACAGCACGAAAATAACGTACGTTAGTGAGAGGAAGTGTGGTGACATATCCAACGAAATGCAACCACAAGGGTTGATTTGTAATAAACAAAGTTAAGGGACAAAAACCAAAGTTTCAACAAACCACTGGGACGATCTTTGTAATTTACTCTGCAACTTATCACCCTTGGAAACATGGTTAGTCAAAAAGATCAAAGGTCGTAAACCGGAGTGTGGTGACATATCTAAGGAGTTTTGTTTAGAATACTCCGAAAGGGTGGAGGGTGGGTGTAGTGGCTTGCTTGGAATCAGCAAAGCAATCAACTCCTTTTAAGGTGTTGTATAGTCATAATTCTCCACATTTAATATACTATAGTTGTAATCCCACTCTGTTTCCTAGATGGATCAGCATTTGGAAGAGCATGAGAGAATCAAGTGAAATGTGTTAAAGTCTCAACAAGGATGAAATAATGGACATAGCTAGAGTTAAGTTCGTAAATGTAAGCTCTCTATTTTTTATACAACAAGAAACCACATTAATAGGACATCACGACAATAGTATAATATTGTAGTCATAATAGTAAGAGAACAGATACCATATATGAATATTTATTTGAGTATATATGGTCATCCAGAAACATGTAACATCCTCATGTGGACAGTCTGATGCCTTTGACTTAAAAGCATGCTCATAATATTGCTTTAGAACTTAGGGGGTTTTGGTAAGAGGTATTAAACAGTAATTAATAGGAATGAAGATAAAAGAAACTGTTTGGTTTTATAATATAATGGGTCCATTCCCCTAGAAGCCCAAATTCTCATTCCAGGTTAAGTTGAGGAGAATGAAAATTCATTCCTATTTTCATTCCCTGTCATTTTCATTTTCATACCCATTCTCATTCCTCTGCCTAAACCAAACGCCCCCTTATTCATGGAGATAAAACTTACTAGAACATCTTGTGTAAGATCCCACAGCTGGCGCACAATGGTAATTCTATCCTTCAATGATGGTATTTCACCAAGTACATAAGACTACACAAAAGATAACAAAAGGAAGAACATTTAGTATAACATCCAGGCATGGTACTTACTATTGTTCGATATAAACATCAACTAGAGTAATTGCCATAGAGAGGGAGAGAGATAAAAGATGTTAGATTGAGATATCCTAACGGATGTGGTTAAAAAGGTGGTTATAACCACCTTTAAAAAAAAGACCCCTCCCCCCCCTTATTTTTTAAATCGAAAATGGGCGAAATACAACCAACATTGGAGAGAAACATCTTACACAAAGAAAAAAACGATTGTTTTATTATCTTTAACTTGACATCTATATTGATACATTTTGTCTTTCATCATCCGTTTTTCGTTGTTCTTTCGATTATTTTTTTAGGTTCTCCCGCAGTCTCACCCCTACATATATATACATATATACACTATAGAAATAAGATATGGTGCATTAAAAGTTGCTTACAGCAATGACAAGGTCGTGCTTTCTATCAGACTTGCTTATGTTTTGACTCAGTGCCTGAATGCTACCATAGCTCTGTATAAGTGGTAAATTCTTCAGATCTGAAGTACATAAAAAAAAGATGTTAAAAGTTATCCAGCTAGACACCACCTCTTTATTACGAACCTCAGGCCAGGGTCCATCAAAGATCATGTTAATCATTTTTGCATGCAAGGAAATAAGCAAAAAAATCACATTAGATTACTTCACCCCTATAACCCTATTAATGATTTTTCATATGCAACCTGGCTCATTTTTAGTTCAACGATACGCAACAACACATGATCAGCACTTACATCCAAATGGAGTTGCAAGCATAGGCGCGTAGCTATGTTTGCATATCACAAGTCATACACTCGAAGTTCGTTCTGCTACAAGTAAAACCCCATTCCATGACAAATGCATAAAACTTGTGCATTTAAGAAAACCATTCTCCAAAATTAAACCATCCTATAGAATCGGAAAACATCCAACCAAAACCTCATTGACTTGCAATAACCTGGAAGTAGACTTGGCCGAATTGATATTAAATTTCAATTCATGTACAGAATTGTGATTACTTACCACACCTGCACTTACCAATATGTTCAATTGCAGAAAAAGAGGACTAATCCGAGTATCTAACCACAGCACAAAAACACATACACATATTATTAGCATAACTTTCATTAAAAGTTAACCATAAAATATCAGTATCATTTATATACTTCAATAAATTTGAGCATTTAGATACCCAGGTTGTGACGTATAAAGACGGAACACAATTCAAGCAGTTGTCCAGTTGACCTAACAATCGGGTACCGTATTAGGTTTATATATTTATAATAAATGATGGTAAATTGGTAAAAAAAATTGTTTTGTCCCATCTTGTTCCACCTATTTTTTTTTTTGGGGGGGGGAGGAGGGAACCTTTTTTGTCCCACCCAGTCCCTGTCCTTGTCCTATGTCACGCCAAACATGGAGCAACGGGTTTTTGTCCTGTTCCATGGCACACCAAATGTGGAACAGTGAGTTTTTTCTGTCCAGTCCCATGTACCGAATGCACCCTTAAGGGACACATGTAGTCGGTACGAATGGATTGTGTATTAGCATTGCCCATGGTTTAAAAGAAATGAGTTAACCAAGATAGCCATGAAAGTTGCCTCCTCTAAAATTTAGTTATTTTCTGAAGCCACTAATAAACTGTTCCTGGTTTCATCAACCAGCAGTCTAGAAACTTATATTTGCTTTAGTTACGAGTGTTCTAATACTTCGACGCAAAGGTGCAAATGAGTTGGGTTGGGTTGGCCAGGTTGAGGGGATTTAAATAACCCAACCCAACTACTTCGGCCTGAAAATCCTAAGGCGTTCAAAACCTTTTTAACGTACAACCCAACCCGTCATTTTATGGTTGGGTGAAAATGGTTAAATTAAAATTTAAAACCTAGAAAACAAGAAAATCAAATATTATTGGTTAGTACTGTCCAAAATATTACAATAATTCAGATATAATGTCAAACATAAAATGCCTAGATAGATTTCACAATAATAGCTTGAATTGAATTGAACTGAATTCATCAATCAACAATGACGGTTTAGGACCTCTCCGGAAGAGGGATAATTTGAATTTTTTATTTAGTCTGAAGGGTTGAACCAGTTGGGTTGGGTTGGGCTGATTTAGGCCTAACCCCAACTCAAATCAAATATCTCGGTTTGTATATTGTAGTCCCCGCTAGTCTATCATAGCAGTAGAGGTGCGGATGTAATCCGTGTGTGTGAGGTCCTCGGTTCAAGCCCGGGCACCATTCTATGCCAATGAGATGCATGCATGTTTTACCTCCCCCATAATGGCCGTGGGAACAGTGCAGTGGGGGCACTCCAGAGGATGGCATCTACCCTTTTTTACTTCTACATTTATAATAATTAGTACCAAGGCCAAAATCTTACAAGCAAGCATAGACAATATGAAACTAAAACCAAGGAAATCAAACATCTTAATAACCCAAATAAATCAAAGTTCAAATCAGAATTTAATGAACTTCATGCATCACCATCTTCGAGTTTTAAGTTGGGATTGCTAAAGACCAAAAGAGAGAAACAAGCTTCTCCAAGCAGGCTGCTAATCTTTAAAATATTGCCACAGGAATGGAGATTAAAGAATCAGAGGCTTATTGTTCAAAGAGTCAAAACCCAAGCTTAGTGCTAAAACATAAAAGAAAGACCCTAAAATAATGATAAATTTAAACAAGTACTCTTTGGGACCCACAAACCAAATACAAATACAGAGGAAGAAACATGTTTGATGTTTGAATAAATTGACACATATCTTTTGAGTGCACCATATCGGGCAGAAAAACGTTGTTCTTTTAGGAATCCACCATATTGGGAAGAAAACCCTTGTTCATTTGGGAATCCACCAGCACCTTTATCCTCCATCTAGTTTTCAAGCTCATCAAGTATAAAGCAAAGATGTTCAGTGAGCTTCCCTCAACATGAGATCATGGTCAAACTCAACTATATAACCTGGTTTGGCCAAGCTCACTTCATGTACAACTAATACAAACACATACGTAAATTTGAAATTGGAACAGCAAAACTACCTTCAAACCTAGTAACTTAACTTTTGTCAGTTTTGGTAGTTTACTCCAGGGGAGAGATGCATAGATTATGTACAAAATGCCTTTCTCTTAACATATCATATTATTATTTTCTTGGTATTGAATCTCAATTGTGTATATGCCCTATTAGTCAGAGCCAGAATAAAAGGAGGAAATACGAATTTTAATATATTAATAATTTACTGTGTGAAAGAGGATGGAGATGGATCAGAATCCATACCTTTGATAAGGCTCAGACCTGCACGTTGCATAGACTGGGATGGCTCAATTAAATTAACTCTTTCAAGAGAGTTTGGCCATACTTCACGCAAGGCCCTGAATGATGTTTTCAACGTATCGTTATGCAAACAACCAAATACCCATTAACGCACTTCTGTTTCAAAAATAATCATTTGCCAGAATGTTGTTCTAAAAAATGAGTTCCCCAATTCAAAGAAAAATAGAAGAACGGTGTGCTCGTCTGAAGTTACCTTTGCAATAAATTATTATGAAAATATCAACTTCAATAGAATACCTCTTATAACAAGTGTATTGCATGTAAACAGCAATGATGCAAAAATGGTGTAATAATTTGAAATAGAAGCTTTTATTGAGAGTGGATGGGGGGACCCAAATGTAAAGACAATGAGATTGGTGTTGGTGAAGCCTCACCAGAAAGCAGAACCAGTACCAGCACCAAAATCCAACACTCTAGCCGGAGAAAATCCAGGTAGCCTTCTTTTAACCTAGAATAAAGCTCATTATCATAGAGAGAAAGTCCAGATTTTCTGATCTTAGTTATTAGCAGGAAGAAGTGAAATGCGTAAGGAATCATACAAGAGAAAATAAAAGACGATGGCACATAAGTGTTCTGTTTTCGACTTGTATAGCTACTTTTTATTTGACAATCAGTGCATGAATTTTATAAAATATTTATTTCCGTTTTCTGTTATGTTTACTGGGGTCTTGAAAACAAGCAAGTGTTAAGCCACGATAACTGCCATCCAAGACTATTCTCTTGAAAGGAAATACCAAAAAGTTGACATAATAAAGTGTATAAACTTGAAAAGGTACTAAATTAGTACCTTTTCAAGTTTATACACTTTATTATGTCAACTTTTTGGTATTTCCTTTCAAGAGAATAGTCTTGGATGACAAATCTGAAGATAGATATACCTCAGTAAGAACTCTATGGCAAGCTGAGAAAACCGCAGGCATCCGAGAAGCAACGTAAGCAATTGTCTGGTCATCTCTGTATTTAAGACCAATGTCACCATAGCAACTCTTAATTTTCCACCGCTTTGAGCATCCAACATATTTGAGAGGATCGTCAACTAGCTCCCTGGCAGTAGATGCAGCTAACTGCAAATTAACATCCTTGATATCATTGAACGATTCTGACAACCTCGAAACTTTCCTCTTCATGTGTTGATCTTCTTGGTCTGCAATTCCCAATTGAAAATCACATTTAGTTGGCACACAATTCTAAACATACAGGGACAGAGAGCATTTATTGTTAATTTGAGTTAATTTAGACTTAACCCATTCTACAAACTTAATCTCAAGCTCACTAGCTAATATAACTCGGCTCCTGCAGAAAGGCATGAGCTCAAGTTCAACAAACTCATTTCATTAATAACTGGAATATTCCAAGGAATTCGCCAATTTGGTAGGATGTTATTCATGTTCCAAACTTTGGTCATTTCATCTCTTCCAACCATCTGTGGGTTTCATTTTGAGTATACCACAAATTAGCTAGGGAAAAAAGGCATGTTCTTCTACCCTCACTTTCCATATTACATTTCCAAGCATACTGCTAAACTAAATAAGCTGTAGTTTATCTGTTCCACAATCAATATTTTAGCTCTAGTTAACATCTGATTCAAGCTCATTTTTTGGCTTGTTGAGATGGCAATCAACTCCTAAGTTAGAAATCAACTCAATCAAGCCTCCAATAAACTTGTTTTTAATATCTAGAGATGCTTTTATACCCTTCAATTTTCAAAAAAAAAATGGTTTCTTATACCTATCAATCTGAATTCTAAAACATGATGAAATTACACCGGTTTCTATTCTTCCATTAGCCCTATAAGCAAATCTATTTCTTCTTTCTCTGGTTCGTTACGATTTTATACGTATAGATAATGAGAGACGATGGAAATGACCTCGAATATATTTTTTGATGGCTCGTCGGAGACGGAGGGGGACAACATAGCATCCTATGGATTGCTTGCTTGCTGCTTTGAGGGTTTCGGCGGTGAATCTCTGGACCGTTTCCGATATCGCACCGGCCATTTGAGATGCGGTGGTTCCGGCTAGAGATGGCGTTGCGAACTCCCCAATCTAAGAGGTCCAGTTCTCTCCGGTGAGGGTTTTGTCAAAACGTAGGGTTTAAGACCGACACCGTGTCATCGTCCTCCACGTCATTTTTCTGTCACGACAACGTCTTCGTTTCATAAAATGTAATGTATGTCTTAATGCCACATGAGAAATAAGAAAAAAGATACCAAGTGACCGGGTGAGTTGATCGAGTCATTGAGTCCATGAAATCACCTGAGTGAGTTGAGCCGAGCGAGTCACCGAGTGAGTTGAGCCGAGCGAGTCACCGAGTTAGTTGATCGAATAATTGTCTTTAATTTATGAGTTGATCGAGGATTTTCATTCCATGTTCCACGACATGGGTATACAGAAAGTCAACCGATCCAATTAGAACCGACCAACAATGATTGAACATCCAATTGTAATTGGCTTGGATCGGATCAAAAATTTCAACATCTAGTTTGGATTGGTCGATTCTCGAACCACAATTAAGAACCAGACTAAACCGAACCGAACCGAACCAATTGATCATCCAATAAGAACCGACCGAACCCATCCAATTAATAATTAACATAAAATTATATTATTTATTGATATAGTTATTAAAAAACAAAAGCACATCTCATCACTATTGACTTTCCATGTTTTCCACATCTACCAAAGTACGAAACCAAACCCAAGTTTTCAATTTCAAAAGAAAAATTCACGCTGGCAGCGAAGATGAAAAATAAAAACTCTAACCTACCCAAATCAGGCGCCACACCACCACTCAACATTGCAGCAATACGCCTCAACACCGGAGCAGCACCGCAACAACATGAAGAGTCGACCACTACTCCCAAGTCGAGCGATTAACAGTTGTATACAGTCTCACTTCTCCTATTAGCAGCACTGTACTCTATACTCTCTAAAACGGCTTCTATTTCAAGCTTGGTTGGTTGTTTAGACCTAATTCTAAGTTGTTTTAATCACCTTATAACCTATGATAGTTTGGGGTTCACAGACAGTTTCCTTTTTGCTGTCACTTTATTATCTCTCGATCTTTTAGTTTGGAGTTCAAAAACTAAATAATGACACCTATTCCTTCAAAAGCACACATTTCATTTTCGCCGTCATTCACTCGTACAGACATGAACATTTAGATTGAATTGAATCGGTTGAAAAAAATCCAACATTCAACGACTGATTGGATCAGTTAGATTATCTTTTACATTCAATGGATGTCAACCGATGAACAACATATTCTGAAATCGATTTGTCGATTTGATTTTTTTTGGGGCGTAATAGGTACTCGTAGAGATGGCCAAATGGGTCCGGCCCGGCCCGTAACCGTCGAAGACCGGAGAGGGACCGGAACCGACCGAGACCGGATGAGGGACCGCCGGTTATGATCCGGTTAGGGTTTTTGACGTTTTATGGGACCGAAACCGGTTAAGACCAGACCGGTTATGTAACCGGTTATAGGCCCCGCCCCGCCCGGTCAACGAAAGTCAACGAACCGTATAAATAAAATAAAACGTATTTTTATTGTGTATTTTTAAATGTATTTATAATAAAACGTATTTATAAACGTATATATATAACAAAACATATTTATAATAAAATGTATTTATAATAAAATATATTAAAAATATCATATTACAAATATATTAATAACATATTCAAAATTTATTAATAACCAAAAATTTGAAAAAAAAAATATATATATATATATATATATATATATTTTGAATGGGACCGGCTGAAACCGGTTATGGGACCGGTATGGGACAACCGGTTATGGGACCGGTATGGGACAACCGGTTACCGGTAAACTTGACCGGTTACAAGAAAAATCACCGGAACGGGGACCGGGACCCGTTACCGCCGGTTTTTGTCTTGGTTAGGACCGGTAGAGACCGGTTAAGGCCCGACCCGGGACCGGATTTTGCCCATCTCTCTAGGTACTCATAAATGGTAAAGGGCTTTCAGCTTTGGGCCAAATTTATTGGGTTTGGGACTTTGGGCTAAGGTAAGACTCAGGTTAGTTTATTGGGTATTTGGGTTTGGGCCTTTGAATTTTTTGAGTTTAGGTTAGTTTATTAGTTTAATGGCCGGTTACGTCGGGGCCGGTTACATCGGTTATAAACTTCGTTGGAACCAATTGGGACCAGCCCGGGACCGGTTTTTGGCCATCACTATTTGCAGTTATGCAGTAAAAAAGTACAGTTGCACCCCTTCATTAACATACAATTTTTTTCAAATAAATTTGTAACTCTATATAAATTCTAGGTCCTCAAAATACATAAATAAATAATTTCAGGGTTTAAATCACAATTCTCAAAACTGCAAGGACATTATTTCGCAAATTAACCAACAACGGTTACGTGACGAGGCAAAACCAATGAGACAACACCACGTAGGACACAACACGAGATCCATCTCTATTGGCTACAACACCCATTGCTCAATCCTCATTGGTCCACCTCATCATCGATGACATGCATTCGAGTGTCTTCGCGAGAGACTCGAACTATATACTTCACGCGCTTATAACATCGCCTATAAATCACGCGCCATTTCATGTATTATATCATTTCCCCTCTCACAAACCTGAGTTCTAAAAAAAGAAAACCTTCCTTCAAAAACCCTTTCAAATTACACCCATAACTCCATAACCATAAGGGTCTGAAATCTAGAGAGAAAGGCGGAGAAGCATGGGTCGGTTCGGCATCGTGCTAGCGATCGTCTTAACCGGTAAAGTTTTCAGATCTTGATTTGCTTTGATTTGATTCTGTTGCTACTCTTTTGTGTGTGTGTGTGTGTATGAATGAATTTAGTACTGATATGGTGAATGTCTATTTAGCTTTGATTTCAGTTTTAATAGTTAGTGAATTCGTTGGTTGTTTTTGTGTCATTTTGAATTCGGGTTTGCTTGAGATCTGAGAAAATGTGGGGGTTTCGTCTTCAATAGTTTTGTATTCGTGCAGTTGTTGATGTTCATATTTGTTGACTAGTAAGCTTGAGAAGATAAACCGTTATGTGTCAGTCAAAAGTGTTATTCTAATTGAACGTATAATGTCGATGATATGGAGATTAGAGATGAACACTTTTACGACTACCGCGAATTTTGATTGGCTTCTTTTTTTAGCGTTTTTTTTCCTTAGATCGATATGGAATTTTTACGCGGCCTCCGCCTCGTTTGATGAAGATTTCTTGAGCTGTCTTTGGGATATACACACTAGCCTAGCCTACCAAGTGTCACATTCTAACAATCCAATTGTCTAAATTTTTGTATAAATTGATAATCTCTGGAATTTGAGTAAAATCTTCAAGGTAAATCACCTTGAAGATAGTTTCATCTTGGTTAATTTGCAATTGATAGTTTCGTGTTGTTATAATTGGTGGCTGATCGAGAAACTAAGATGACTAGGGCTGGTAAAAGAAAATCCGAAACCGATAACTCATCTGAATCACAACGGTTTGCAGGTTTTTAAAGCTGCAGTTTCGATTTTTTTACCATATAGGTGAACCGAATAACAAATATTATTTTATTTATATAATTTCCTCCTAGATGACTTGGTTTGAGGTATATAACATTAAGATTAGTGGAATTGATTTATCTTTAAAACCAGAAATTGAGATATATTTAACAAAATCATCAATTAGCTTTATCATCGTAGCATTTGCAAGAACTAGCGGTAAAAAAAATCAATGTGCTTGTGAACGACCCTCATGTGAGGGAGTGGGGGGTTTCGTCAAAACGACTGGGCAACTGGGGGAAAGCCGTAAATGACGGGGGAACTAAGGATGTAAGAATAAAAGAATTCTTTTTGCTTAGATTAGTTTAATATGTTTTATTTTATGTCTTGAATTGTGGATGACAATTGGAAGATGGGTCATTTTTATGTACTGACCTTTATGTGTTACACAGGTTGTCTATTTGCAATTTCCATTGCAAAAGAAGAGGCCAACAAATTAGGAACTGTTATCGGCATAGATCTTGGAACCACCTATTCTTGTGTTGGTGTTTACAAGAATGGTCATGTTGAAATTATAGCCAATGACCAAGGAAACCGTATCACTCCATCGTGGGTGGCTTTCACAGACTCTGAAAGGTTAATCGGAGAGGCTGCAAAGAATCAGGCAGCTGTAAATGCCGAGAGGACCATCTTTGATGTTAAGAGACTTATCGGGAGAAAGTATGAACTTTTGCAATCTGTTTTTGTGTAGATGTTGGAATTATGTCGCTTTTCAACGTTGACCGTTTGATCTCTGTATGACAGGTTTGAAGATAAAGAAGTCCAGAGGGATATGAAACTTGTTCCTTACAAAATTGTGAACAAGGATGGAAAGCCGTATATTCAAGTTAAACTCAAGGATGGGGAAACTAAGGTTTTCAGTCCTGAGGAGATTAGCGCTATGATTCTAGTAAAAATGAAGGAGACAGCCGAAGCATTCCTTGGAAAGACAATTAAGGACGCAGTTGTAACAGTTCCTGGTTAGTAAATTACAAATTTTTTAACAGAATTTAGTTTCAGACCCTTGGATGATGTCGGTTGATGGTTTGTTTCTTTCGATTCTTTGTGCAGCGTACTTCAATGATGCCCAAAGGCAAGCTACCAAGGATGCCGGTGTGATTGCTGGTTTGAATGTTGCCAGAATCATCAATGAACCGACAGCTGCTGCTATTGCATACGGCCTCGACAAGAAAGGTGGTGAGAAGAACATTCTTGTTTTCGATCTTGGTGGTGGAACATTTGATGTCAGTATCTTGACAATCGATAATGGTGTTTTTGAGGTTCTTGCCACAAATGGAGACACTCATCTTGGAGGTAAGGGATTTGTTTGCAACTTTCCCCCATCTTTACGAATAGTTGAAGATTGTTTTGATCTCGCATTTTGGTCATGAAGAAATTTGTTAATTGTTGGTTTTGTCTTTCAGGCGAGGACTTTGACCAAAGGATCATGGAGTACTTTATCAAATTGATCAAGAAGAAGCATGGAAAGGACATTAGCAAGGACAACAGAGCTCTTGGAAAGCTGAGAAGGGAAGCTGAGCGAGCCAAGAGGGCTTTGAGTAGCCAGCACCAGGTCCGAGTCGAGATTGAGTCACTTTTCGACGGTGTAGATTTCTCTGAGCCATTGACTCGAGCTCGATTTGAGGAGCTGAACAATGATCTGTTCAGAAAGACCATGGGACCTGTGAAGAAGGCCATGGACGATGCTGGATTGGAGAAACGCCAGATTGATGAGATTGTTCTTGTTGGTGGAAGTACCAGAATTCCAAAGGTTCAACAACTTCTAAGGGATTACTTTGATGGAAAGGAACCAAACAAGGGTGTGAACCCGGATGAGGCAGTGGCTTTCGGTGCTGCAGTACAAGGAGGCATTTTGAGCGGAGAGGGTGGTGATGAAACTAAAGGTAATTCACTTTGAGCAACCCACCTCTATGTATATATATATGTGTGTGTACACATACACACATGTAATTCTAAACCAAATCAAACAGCTTAATATATCCCACCCAAAGGTGAGGTCTGGGGACCTGACTTCTGGTCTCAAAGAGTAGAGCGGTTGTTTCCTCAACTTGTAAGGAGTTGGGAAATAAAAACAAGGTTTCCCGAAAGAAATATAAGCAGAAGAGTAGTTACAAGATTGCAAGAAAAATTATACGACCCTAGTCTAACATAAGATTCTGCTAACCACTAATTGATGCATATACAATTAAATGAATTTCAGTGAGTATATGCTTCAATGTACTTGCACATATAGTGTATACTCATTGATGAATATACTCATTGACAGATTTCATACTCTATACCGATAAATATACTCATTGACAGAATTTATACTCTATATAGTGTATATGCATCGATGAATATATTCATTGACAGATTTTATACTCTATAGTGTGTGTATATATATGTATGTATATGAATCTCTTTTTGTAAGAGTGGTATAAAATTTAGGGAAAGGTTTCAGTTGTTTCTATTTATGTGGAGAAATATTTTGAAATAACAATAGTAATGGTGTGATAATTTGTTGTGGTATAGATATCCTTCTTTTGGATGTTGCACCTCTTACCCTTGGAATTGAAACCGTTGGAGGAGTGATGACCAAATTGATTCCCAGAAATACCGTCATCCCAACCAAGAAATCTCAAGTATTTACCACCTACCAGGATCAGCAGACTGTCGTTTCCATCAAGGTAACACCTTTTTCTTCCCCATCATTCTAATATTTTTTCAAACGGGGAAACATGGAATTTGAGTTCAATTTGTGGTTTTGTTAACAGGTTTACGAAGGTGAAAGAAGTCTTACAAAGGATTGTAGGCTTCTTGGAACATTTGATCTCTCTGGAATTCCTCCAGCTCCAAGGTTTGTTGGTCACTTACTTATCTACTGCTATTATCTTTTGCGTTATTGTTGGTATTTGTGAAAGTAAGTGGGACGCCATTAGATTACTATACAAAAGAGTCATCAAGGACAGAAGGGAGAAGGGAGGTTCAGACATATATTGAGGAGAAAGTCCAATTTTAGATGGACACGGATTTGTCCCAGAGTGTTGAGAAGGGGCGAGACGAGTAGAAATTGTCCAAGAGTGTTGAGTTCTTTGAGGGGAAAGACTTTGGCTTTGATAACTGCGAAAATATGTGGGACCTTGTTAGATTATTCGAATTACTCTTCAAAAGAGCTCCTGTGGAGAGAAAGGAGTTCCCAAATATATTGACAAAAAACGGTCCAGTTTTAGCCGATGTGAGACTGGAATGATATTGGTCCAGAGCATCGAGAGGGGCTAGACGAGTACGTATTACCCCAAACTAGAGTGTTGAGAGGGGCTATATATAACATCCCAAGCCAACCGTACTAAATAATGTCCGCTTTGTTCACACGCCTGGACTCACGGTTCTAAAACATATCTGATAGAGTAAGGCAACTTTCGTTCCCCTCCCCAATCAATATGGGATCTTACAGGCTAGACGAATACATGTAATATATGTGGAATGGATTACTCATAAAAAGAGTCTTTTAGAAGGGTAGGCAAGTTCCAACATATATTATAAAAAAATGGTTCAATTCTAACTGATGTGGAACTCTAACATGTATAAAGACTGATGGATTGTTTTATTGTTAATCCATTCCAGGGGAACCCCTCAAATTGAAGTAACATTTGAAGTAGATGCCAACGGTATCTTGAACGTGAAGGCCGAGGACAAGGCTTCCGGAAAATCCGAGAAGATCACAATCACGAACGAAAAGGGCCGATTGAGCCAAGAAGAAATCGAGCGGATGGTTAGGGAGGCAGAAGAGTTTGCCGAAGAAGACAAGAAGGTAAAGGAAAAGATCGATGCCCGTAACGCCCTTGAAACTTACGTCTACAACATGAAGAACCAAATCAACGATAAAGACAAACTGGCTGACAAGCTCGAGTCCGATGAGAAAGAAAAGATCGAAACAGCAACGAAAGAGGCATTGGAATGGCTGGACGAAAACCAGGCGGCGGAGAAAGAGGAGTATGACGAGAAGCTTAAGGAAGTGGAAGCAGTTTGCAACCCGATCATAACGGCAGTTTATCAGAGGAGCGGTGGCGCCCCTGGCGGCAGTGGGGGCGAGTCACCGGAAGACGAGGATGAACATGATGAACTGTAGGTTTGGTTTGTTAGAGAGAAGAGATAGGTTTTTAGTATAATTTTGGGGAATTACAAGCTGAGGTGAGCTCACTTTGCTTCTTATTATTATTATGATTTTTTTTTTCTGAAATAGTTTTGAATTTGTATCATCCTACTTCTATTCTAATGTTTAAACAACTTGCCTACTTGTTTTATCTCCTCATTTCTTAATTTGGATGTCTTTAATTTCGTTATTTCTAACTTTTTGCGCTTTTTAGCCATTTTCCAACTTTCTTTTTCCATGAAGCAAACATTCAACGAACCGTTCCGTTCCGAACAAGTTCGTCTATTTAAGAAATCAACCAACATGAAAACATTTTTGGTTCAACATGGTCTCGTTCGTTCATTTATATTCGATTACATTTGTTTTTATATATATATCCTTCATAAATTTACCCGGTTTTTTATTTTGTTATTTTATTTTTGGGGAACGAAATGATAAATAATGATTGTTGTTTTTTGTTCATTCGTTTATGCTCATTGATGTTCATATAAGTAATGTTTGGTACGTAGACTAGATGGGACGGAACAGGAATGACAAGACTAATTGTCTGTGCTATATTTGGTACGACTAGGACATGACATGAAAAACTGTTAAAATGACCATATTACCTTAAATTGGCTTAGAGCATGCCATCCAAAACTGTTGATCGTTTGGGAAGTTTGTCGAATGGTCTCGAAATTCATGCATATGCTATCAAAAATGGGATGGAGAGTAGAAAATAGTTTATAGTGTTGAGAGGTAGTGTTGAAGTGGAGAACAAAGATGCCATTTCTTGGCTTATCAGGTCATACCATTCATGATCAAAACAGAAATCAAACTAGCACAGAGACACATAAATAGATATATGGAATATGATTCTAAAGTTAAATATAAACATATATCAAGATTAGGCGGAAACCCTAACCCAAGCGAGATGGAGAAATGGAAAGATTTGAAGATAATCGTACTTGAATTGAGGGTTTCGAGATGCAAAAAACGGAGCTGGAGTGGAGGGCATTGCGGAGGTTTTCTTGTGCTGCACAAATGAAGGCTTGTGGAAGAAGAAGGAGACGATGAATAAGGTTTCGTATTGAAATGAAATAACAAGGGTAATATTGTAATTTTAAATTTAGTCACATGTTGTTCCACCTTTTTTAGTAGAACAAAAAATCTCTAGATTTGTCCCATGAAAATTAAAAATAGTCACACCTTGTTTTATGCTCTTTTTCTCTTTGGCATGCCAAACATGGTACTATTTTTTTTTTTGTCTCGTCCCGTCCCATGTAGTCTGCATACCAAACGCACCCTTATATTGGTTCCTTTACGTTCATTTAGCATCTTTAACGAACAAACACATTTTCTTTAAACGAACAAACATGAACACAAAAAATTCCATTCGTTTACTGTTTCTTTGTTTGTTCGGTTAAATTAAACGAACGAAGACGAACAAGTCTCCGTTCGTGTTCTTTCGGTTCGTACATCCCTAACCGCAAGTCAACCCTGCAATACAGTTTTTCTTGTGATACCGCAAGCTGTGACTTTGGCTTGCGGTACCCTAAGCTATGATGTGTCAATTATTAGAGACATGTTCAATGAATTTAGACCCTAAACTTAAAATTTAGATTAAATGATTCAAGTAAAAATTGAGAGAATATTAAGTGGAAGAAATTGGGGTTGAATTTGATATCTAATCACAAGTGATTAAATATTCTTTTTGTTGAGTGATGCTTACTAACATTTGCATACATTGTCTTTTTTATTCATGTTTTTTGGAAAGTTTGAAAGCAATTTTTTAACTCAAAACAACTTTTTCTAATTAGGTTTTATTTTTAAAGGAATTTGAGATTCCATTTTTGACTTTTCATCTTTTATAATCAGCGGTTGTTTGGCAGTTGCTGAATGGTTTTGTGTAAAATTATTAAGTAGTCAAAATGATTAAGAGACTCTCATGATATAGTGCAAAATGAAATATAATTGTTTACAATGAAATTAGGGCTCTTAATGGTTAAGGGAGGCCCATGATATAAAATCATTCAGAGGGTTTTAGAACCATTAAGATGCAGATTTTTTTTTGCCAAATAAGATTCACCTCTAAATGATTCAGAGATTGCCTCTTAATGGAACTATTAAGAGGTAAACAAACAACCCCTTAGCCCGAAATGTGAACATCACTAATAAATCTGTATTATCGAGTGAAACTTCGAGAAATAAATTCTAACAGAAGCAATATTGTAGTGATCTATCTGTTATATGCTCAATCACACGTCAAAGCCAGGAGAGAAAACAAATCAACACAGGGATTTAACAAGATTCTGCCACGAATCCAAAGTATATAGGTAAAAAGCAAAGAGTATTTTCACTAAGAACAAAGTAAACAGTACAGTAAAATCCTAAATATACACCAAAACCTCGTATATTTTAATATCCTAAAAACATTAATACATTTAATATATTTTAGCAAGTACGATAATTATATGATTTTAATCGATAGATATGACAATTCAGATTTTTTACAGGATTGTTGCGTTATAGTTGCGTACTTGCGTCTAATTGCATATTAGGCTTTTTTGTGGGGATATGAATGGCTATCGACAACGGTTATCAGTTGTCTCATATCGTGTTGCAAACTCAATGATTGAGGTAGGTCGGTGGGCATACGAGTCTTATTGGCCAAAATAAATCAACATTTAACATCTTCATCGTATAAATCCCATCAAAGTTCATATCAATGTTATAAGTCAAATTCATTAATCCACAATTTCAACATGGTGATTTCGGAAAACACTTTTTTTTTTATTAACTTGGATATCCAACCCGCTATGCGAGCCGACTAATCACAGGGCGACCACCTGCTTTGTAGATAGCCCGGAGTCACCGCAATTGAACCTTCGTGGCCACAAGGGGATTTTTATTCCTCCTTGGATTTGAACTGGGACCTCCTGGTACTTTTGATATTTGGAGCCATGCTCAAACCAATAAGGCACCACCCGTGTGGTTGAAAACACTTCTTTTGTTGTTGGTTGTTGGTGTCAGTGGTAGCTTATGTGTGTCTTGATTAATTTCATGGGGTCCTGAAGATAACAATCATGAAAATTCAATTCATATCGGTGACCTATGTTGAGGAGCCCCAACGCTTAGTATTTATTTGCCAGTTGAGATAGTCGTCAAGGTTTACTCAATTGATGCATATTCCGTTCAAGTCCACAAAATCGTGGGGGTTTTTGACGTTTATTCAAGTAGTTACTGTTGTTTTCTAATGCGTTTAGTGCAGGACATGTCGATACGAGACCAAACATGAGTGGAGATTGTCACAAACTTCTAAATTGACCAATTTTCACATAACTGAGCTGTGATTGGCCCTCAAAGATGACATTATCTTGCATTCTGATGGGTCATTATTATCAGTGCTGTTAATTTTTGAGATTATTATTTTTAAATTATTAATCTGCCTTCGTGACTGATACGGATCCCGACGTCATAAACTCTTGACATATTACTTAACAACAAATTCTCGAAATACGTATCAGTCCAATTTATTACACTTAGAAAATACCATTCAAATATCATCTGTGATGTCTCAAATCAGATCAATAAACACAGATCCTAACTTTAGAATCAGAATAGAAAAGTCATTAGTAGTCGACAAACCAATGACTTATAAAGGGTTTATAAATCATATTCACGGCTAATATAAGAAAAAGATGTATCGCAGAAAGTCTCTTTCGGAATTAGATTCACGGAGACATCAGGGAAAGAATATGTTCACAGTCGGGATGAAAGATTGGATCGTAGAAAGCAAACCTGACAACATAATCGTGAGAAACCTTTTTCATGCCACCACTTTTCATGTTCTTCCATCTGTCTCTCTGACATTTGTCTTTAATTATTTGAAAAATCTATCGGTTTTCATTTTATAATAATTCATTTATCTGAATCTGTGATCTTCTTTCGGTCACATTAATTGATTTCATATTTTTTTTTATAAATCTATACTATATTATAAAGCATTTGACAAAAACTCTTAAAAATCATTTTTTATGCATGAAATATTGTATATTAATGCATATTACTTAAAATTTAAGATTACAAGTAAATTATGCATAAGTACAACTTATTAAAGCTCCATGTTTGAATTCGCGTAACTAATTGCGGATAAACATAACCAATTAGAGGATAAACATCTCATTTTAAAATATAAAAAATCTAAAATATAATTAGAATAATTATTGAGTTCTAACAAAATAATTAATTATTATCTTTATAAGAAAATTATATTATTAAACCAAATATAAATTACTTTGTTATTAAACCTAAATTAAATTATAAAAAAAATGAATTAGAAAATTGTACAAAAAATAGGAATTTTAAATAATTAATTTGATACTAATATCGATATATTTTTGTCAAATTTTTATGATATCTTCAAATTTATATTTATTCAAAAATAAAAACATTATCGTTTTTTCAAAATCACATAAGACCATACTATAATATCGACTGAGATAAAGAATAAAATGAAATATTAAAATCAAGATGTATCTCGCTGCATTATGCGAGTACCCTTCTAGTAATAGAAGATATGTGAGGTGGTAATTTTTTTTAAATTAACCTGGACATCCAACCCGCTATGTGAGCCGACTAATTCCAGGACGACCACCTGCTTTGCGGGTAGCCCGGAGTTACCGTATTTGAATCTCCGTGGTAACAAGGAGATTCTTATTCATCCTTGAATTTGAACCTGAGACCTCCAGACACTTTTAACCTTTGAAGCTCAAACTTAAACCAATTAAACAACACCCTTATGGTAAAGTGAGGTGATAATTGGACACATGGAAAAATCAAAAGCATGATTTGACCTAGTTTGACCCGATTTTTTCAAATTTGGTACAAACTGCCATCCAGACAAAATAATTGGAATTTATTAAGAATGATACAAAAGTATCGAATTCAAATTATTCTTCATTTATCAGGAATGATAAAATAAAAGTTTTTTTTTTGAACTCGACAAACCGACACATCACAAGCTAAAATTCAAGCTTTTAGAAAACCGACTCAATTCTCGAGTACTGATCTTATGTTTGAATCAGGTATACTATATTCTACTTTACTCAGATGTCTTTTAATAAAGAACGTAATTTAATTCATTTTTACGTTAAAATTTAATCAATTTGAGTTTGATG